CCCTTGAGGTTAATGCAAAACATTCTTATCTGTTTCATGTTGTTTGTTCGACAAAATTTAGCATTTCTACAGGATGCTTGCGAATGCATCGATTCTGAATCATACGATACGGTTTGTCGCTTATTTGCAGTGTCCTGGTTAGGAAAAAGACGAATATTGGCTTGATAGCTACTGATTTCCAATGTTTGGTGAGTATTTATTCATCACTTCTCTTTGGTGATGCTGTATTAAATTTTCTGTTTCGAGCTTTTCCGGTCAAATGCAACTTTGGTTCGGGTGAAAATTTAACTGATAAGCTGATTTATTTTTTCGTATAACACTAGAACGGTAGTAGCTTATAGTTTAATAAAGATGGGATTTTGCTGTTACGACTATTTTTGGGTGTATGTATGTATATCAAAACTAGTCATTTCAGACTTATCTTCATAGCATTGACACGATCAGAGGTATTTGCAGAAAGTGTGGTGTAATATAAATCTTGATTTGAAGCATATATAGCTGACAACTTTGTTTACTTATGCAGATTTCCGAACTTTCACTGTCGGGATTAGTCATCGGCTATCCTTTTGATAGGCAAAAGAGCAGCCCAACCGTATGTTACCATCTCGTATATGTCAATATTTATTCTTTTCGATTTTCAGTCACTTTCACTGTTTAATACATTTCTGAAACGTGTGGATTGTCTTGCAGGCGGTGCAAGTGAAGCTTTTTGTCGATGAACTTACGAAAACAGGGAAATTTGAAGATTTAAAGTATACCTTTTGGGATGAGTGCTTCACTTCTAAGGTGCAAGCTTATTGTTTATACTTTAATTACATATATATATATATATATATATATATATATATATATATATATATATATATATATATATATATATATATATATATATATATATATATATATATATATATATATATATATATATATATATATATATATATATATATATATATATATATATATATATATATATATATACATATATATATATATACATATATATATATATACATGTGTATGTTTGTGTGTGTGAGTATTTTTGTTTTTGTGTATGTATGATTTTATTTATTTATAATTTATATTTTTTTTTTTTTGTATTTAGATAGAAATAGAGTGAGATAGAGACTGTCTCTGTCTCACTCACTCACACACGATTTTTTTTGTACACGACCCCATTCGAAAACTAGAAGAATTTAAAACTTTCTAAATTTCATATTTTTTTACTCACATATATAGACATATACGAAAATAACGATGTTCGATTTCTTGAAGTTTACATCTTTAGTTCTCGATTTTTAACAACCTTGGCTTCTGCTAATTCATCTCTATCATATTTTCATACGTATGTTGGCGCAAATAATGATCTTCGAACTTTTTTTTAAACAAATATAATCATATGTATGAAGTGAAGTTCCTAATGTGTCGATTTTAATGGATATTCCAGAGTGTCGAATTTCTGCTGAAGCCTTTGTCGTTGCACCCAGTGCAACACAAGACAATTTCGGACAAATTTGCTGCTGTTGGAATCCTTCAGGTATATTATAAATGCAGTCAACTTTAGACCTTGTTCATCTGTCAATTCTTAAGAATTATATTTCTCAAGTAATTCTAACGCATAAATTCATCGAAATCGAAGGATTATAGATGGAAAGTCTTACTTATAAGTGTAAAATATTTTCAAATTAGGCGTAAAAAATGCTTCTTTGAACGAGTTTTGGCTTCGTTCCATTACTATAATCTGGTCGAAAAATCGAGCCGAGGCGAAGTTTCATCGAATGCAACAACCGTTTCGAATTATTTCGCGGGCTTAATTTAATTTAATGAATTAATTACATTTTCGATCTGTGGCAGGGGTACCTGGATTTTGCCAACAGGAGTCAAGATCAAAATCAAGAAAGTCAACTGTTCTCAAATGAAAATGATTTGGAGTCTGAGACTATCAATTAGTGTTGGCCTGAAAAATAGTTGTACTTGTAGCACTAGAGAAATTAAAATTAAAAATTGTAATAATGACTGTAGAGTATTAAATTATCCAATGAATTTAGTTTCAAGGGAAATATATAATTCCGATTTAATTTGATGATTAAATTTTCATCGTATGAAAAAACTTGATGCAGGGAATCTGGTCAAAGATCGAAGCCTAGAAAATTAATTAGATATATATATTATATACTATTTTAAATGAAAACAAAAATAAATTAAATAATTGAGGAGTAGTACTCTGAACAACTATGTTGTCTTGATAAGGACATGTTGGTACTTAGGTGCACCCAACTGTACCCCAATGTTTTTTTCAAAGTCTTCAATGTCAGAATCCTTACATCACCCCCCTCACTACACACTAAACCCCCTATAACTATTTACAAAAAAAAAAATTACAAGTAATTTGGTTTAGTTAAATAGAGCGCAAATTCGAGTCCGATTATCTATTTTAAAATCGAGTTTGTCGCCCACGGTTTGTCTAGTATTATTCGCAAACTATTGCACGACGAAGACGAAGTTGTTGAAAGTATGCATGTGTTAAAATACAGTAGAACATTGATATATTAATAACCTCACTTAAATTAATAATTTCTTTTGATCCCGACTCGATAAAAATCTACTAAATTATTAGTTCGATAATTTAATATTTTGCTAAACTAATAGAATTTTGATATTGTCGTGAATTTAAATGTAAGTTTCTTTATTGGAAAAAAAGGTATTGCTTGAGTTATGAACAAGAAAAAGAGTGTTGTGACTTTAATTCAAAAGCTCATCACAATTTTCTATTTCATCCAACTTTTTTGTCATTACCCTCCTCCCCCCCTCCCTCTTTCCCAAAACCCCCCTCTCTCTCACCTCTCTCTCTCTCTACATTTCAAATCTAGGGTTTCATTTCTTCTCCATTTATTCAATTTTCTTTGATGTTCTTGACTGCAGTTGAAGAGGGGTTGAATCTTTTGAGCTGAAACTTTTGACTGGGTTAGTTTAGATATGGATACTGTCCACATTTTTCAGAGTAAGCTTTTGATTTGAGTGTGTCAAGATTCAATTTTTATGAGCCCCTTTGCTTTCTTTTGAGTTGTTTTTGTAAGATTAGGAAGTTTCTTGATTTCTTGATTCATTTCATTGTTTTGTTTCCCCTCGTGTAAAGTAAAACCCATGTTAACTATGTTGCCTAGTTCAACTTTCTTTATTAGGGTTTAGTTGTGATTTAGGATTAAAAAAAAAAAAAAGGAAATAAAAATTGGATCTTTAGTTGAATTTTAGCTAGTAAATGCATGGATGGGAGAGAAGGGATGACACTACAAGGTTCGCCTTCATATTACCTCAACAGAGCTGGTATTGGTGGCTCCGCCGCTTCAGCTCCCAGCCCTAATTTCCACCACGGCGGAGGCGGCGGCGCCGCCTCTCATCAGGCCGCCGGAATACATCCATCCCTGGTTTTCAAGAATCTTCCAAATCCCAACATCATTCCACCTCAGCCCAATAATGTAGTAGGTGTCGGAGGTGGCGGTGGCGGCGGCGGCTCGGTAGTAACTGGTCAACCGTCTTTCCACATTGAGAACCCGCCGCCCAATTTCCACCATGGCAGAAGCATGGCTATTGTGCCCGCTCCGTCGCAGGGCGGCGAACCGGTGAAGAAGAAGAGGGGCAGGCCAAGGAAATATGCCCCAGATGGGGCCAACACTTCTTTAGGGCTGTCCCCATTGTCGGCCACCAAACGCTCCTCCGCTGTGGAAAGTTCCGGTGAAAAATCGAAGAGGGGGCGGCCCCCTGGTTCTGGATGGAAACAGCAGCTTGCTCCTCTTGGTATGCTATATCTCGTGGAGTTGATTTTATACTCTATTTTAATGTTGGATTTATTTTCCCTTTTTCGGTTTTTTATTTTCTTGTTCTTGCATTACTAGAAAGAGGCATTGCCAATTTGCCATAAATTAGTTAATAGTGGTTTCATGATAGTGATGTGATTTCTTGTTATTTAGATTTCGTGTTTATATAGTAAAATTCTCTGTATTATGGAATTTGTTCATTTCCCGAAAAGGGCTGGGAATTGCTACTACATCACTTGTTTGGATTCGAAAATTTATTCGTCTTTTCCAAGATTGAATTTTTTTCTGGATTTATTTAGATTTCAGATCCTATCTTTTCATTTTTGTTCCTAAACGGGCTTTCTTTAAATCAGGGGATTGGATGAATAGTTCAGCTGGACTAGCCTTTACGCCACACGTCTTGCATGTCGGAATCGGAGAGGTACTTTTCAGATGAATAGTTTGATTGCTGGAAAAATTATTCGTTTTGTTTTTATTTTTTTTTATTTTTATGTTTTTGTGGCAGGACATTGCGGCAAAATTGCTGGCATTTGCGCAACAAAGGTCAAGAGCCTTATGCGTAATGTCGGCTACTGGTTCGGTTTCTTCAATAACATTACGCCAACCTACCTCTGCTGCCACTGTTACATACGAGGTTTTTGAAAACTCCCGACTCCTTCGTTTTTTTTTTTAATATTTAAATTGAAAAATCATGGCAAAAGTCTTCGTCTGGTTCTAAAAGAATTGCTTGAATTGAAAGGATACTCTTCTTTTTTAGTTTGTTAAAAACCGATATTTTTGTGGTTTCATGATTGATTACCATCGAGTGTGACTCTATATAAGTCGAATCGATAATTATCCGTCAAAGTGGTTTCGTTTTGCTCCACCCTTTGTTGTAAAATCTTGTTAAATATGCATTTATTAACCTTTTTGTTTACTTTCTTGCAATTTACGATCACGTTCACTGGCTTCAATAATTGGCATCGTCCCCTAACTTCTTCTTAGGAAGCTTTGTAACATATTCTTGGAGGGATCTAATGTGGGCTGTTATTTATTTTTAGGGCCGTTTCGAGATACTATGCTTGTCCGGTTCTTACCTGGTTTCCGAAAATGGTGGTCCCCACAACCGGATTGGCGGTATTAGCATTTCTGTATGTAGTCCCGATGGGCATATGATCGGTGGTGCAATAGGCGGTCGCCTCATTGCTGCAAATCCAGTGCAGGTAATATATATGATCATTTCATCTCTCTCTCTCCCTCCCTCTCTTATCGCAATTGTTTTGTGTAGGTGGTTGCATGCAGTTTTATATACGGCGGTGGTAATAACAAACCTAAGAGCATTTCGGGATCCAAAGACGAAAAACTTCTGATGCTGGAGCATTCTTCAGACAAGTCTTTAACTCCGGCAACAACAAAAGGAGCCTCTACGCAAAGTTATAACCCTAATCCCGGAACGAGCGCTTGGCCGCCAATTTCAAGGCCAGAGGTAAGAAATTCCGGGATAAATATCGATCTGATGCGAGGTTGAAGATATGTGATACAACGACAGGCGGGTGACAGACAGTTTCTGTATATACGTGTTGTTGTAAGTAAATGAAAAGATGCCGTGTGGGGGAAGGGAATCTAATCTACCGAACGTGAGTGGGGTTTGTGTGCTAACATCCTTGTAACAAAGTTTCGACTTGTATTATTAGGTTTGTTGAGAAGTAGCCGGCAAACGAAAACGTGTTAGAAAGGTGGTGTATTGATATTTATCTGTTGTAGGTTTTGTTAGTAAATTGGTGGGATTTGTTGTCTCTTGGTCTTCTGCACTCACTGTTGTAACCCTAATTTGATTGTGTGTTGTAACTTGGATTTTTAGGGCTAGTAATTTGAGTTTGGCTTCTCATTTGATATTTTGTTGCAAAAAAAAAAGGGGGGTTTTGGTTATAAATTATAATCAAGAGGAGATTCTGTTTTTTTTTTTTTATTATTATTATTCCTTGATTTTTGAATCTTAAGAAATCGGACGGATCGGATAAAAGATAGCACTTAAAAAAAATCTGATTTTTTTCGGAAGTGCAAAACTAAATCCAACTCGTTACTGAAAGAAGGGAGAAATCGGAAATTGGGATGAAAAAATTTGTCAAAATTTCGAAATTTTCGGTTCGGTATCGGTTAAATTTTGAAACTTTCGATGTAGTTACCGAAAATATAAAATGTATAATAATATTGATCCCATGGTATAATTTTTGGATTTAAAAAAAAATATTTTCGAAAACTAAAATTGGAATCTCATATACATATACATTCCAATTCCGATTTTTTTTTTTAAAAAAAATGGTATCGGAATTTTTGGAATTCAAAAAAATATATATAGAGGTCTAAAACCGGAAAATTTCAACTTGAGATCGGTTGAAATCGGAACACTTTCACTCCTATTTCCACCCCTAGTTGTAAACCTAATTAGATTGTGTTATAAAACAAACCTAAACCAGCCAAAACCATAGTAAGGAAAGAGGAACAATGATTAACTGATTTACGTCTCTCGTATGATTTGCAAGCTATTACACGAAAGTGTAGATTTACCTAGTGCACCTATATAGTTGGCTGCTCGTTCCTTCGTTAAAAAGAATTAGCAAAATACGCAACAATAAATAGTTTTTTTTTTTTGATAATTAGTTAAATACACCTATTTATTGCAACAATAAATAGTTAAATACAACAAAAAATCCCACCAAGAGGAGAAAAGTCATCACAAAGTCAACATTTACAATAATCTCAAAGCAACACAAAATAACATCTTAACAACAAATTAAAGATCTAAAAACATCACACTTTATTCATATAGACCAACTCTCAAATGGGATTTTATATTATTTTTTTTCTAGCTTCTGTGCTCTTATGCTTTCTCCAGAAGCTTCTTTATATCCTTCTGCAAACACGAAAAACACCGAAACTCTCTTTAGTTACTATCTTTCGACAATGAATAAAAAATCGTTTCGTGTAAGATATTTTACCTCTATGCTCAGAGGAGTTGTGGTGGGAGCATAGCGGTCGACAACCTGACCCTCTTTGTCAACGAGAAATTTCGAGAAGTTCCATTTTATATTGTCACCGAAAAGACTGCCTTTGATCGATTTCATGTACTTGTATATCGGAGCAGCGCTCGAACCGTTTACATCGACCTACGTCGGCATAATACTTATCAGCTTTTCGCAGTAGAGGAAAATTGTTTGATGAAAATATTTTTGTGGCTTGAAAATATAAATATGGTACAATAAATCTTATTACCTTGTCAAATACGGGATACTCGGCCTTGAAACGAGTGCAAACGAATTCTTGAATTTCTTCCATGGTGCCTGGTTCTTGTGAGCCGAACTGGTTGCAGGGGAATGCCAATATCTCCAATCCTGAGTAATAGGCAAATGATGATTAAACTTAATTGAGATTAAAAGAAGTGATACAATGTTGAATTGGGGTTTGAAAAATTGCTAGTTAGTCCTCAAATTTTAGCTGCCTCCCGGAAAAAAAAGAGAGAGAAGCAAGAAGGGGTAAATCGGACGGATTATATTGGAATTAACCCTTTCGGAAAAAAAACGTTTTTTTTTCGGAAGTAATTATCGGAAAAATTGGAAATCAGAATTTTGGAAATTGGAATAAAAAACTTGTTCCAAAAATCGGAAAATTTGAAATCAGAATCTGCGGAGTTCGGAAATTTCCAATTTTTGGTCACCTAAAATATAACATACCTAATAATATTGACATTTTAAGTGTAATATTCGGAAAAAAAAATCGGAATATTCGGAATTAGTTTGGGAACTTAAAATGGGATCGGAAATCGGAATCTCATATATTTTCCAATTCCGATCCAAATAATTTCGGAAAAATTGGAAACCGGAATTTCGGAATTCGTAGTGAAAACTATTGTACCAAAATCGGAAAATTTTGGATCGGAATCGGTGGAAATCGGAAATTCCTTTCCAATTTCCACCCCAAGAAGCAAGTGCCAAATAAATAAAATCAAGAAACGTGAAGCCCGATCATACCTTGGTCTTTGTATGTATCGTACAACTGTTTCAACTCGGTGTAGTTTGAGTTAGTCAGGCCACTGCAGAAGGGAAAATAAAACAGCATCGATAAAGTTTCTTCAAGAAACGAAACAACATAGTACTTCGATTTTTTTTCTTCTAATTTTTTTTTTTCTGGAAAAAATTCAGAAAGATAGTACTTCGATTAACTTCACTCAAGCTAACAATTCTTTACCTCATGAAACAAACGGCAAGTAAAAAATCACAAAATGCACGGACTTAAGGTAATTAGAAAGTACAAGTATCGATACTTTAATCGGAGAATCGAATGCATACCACTGCGATGCAACATTAACAATGAGCAGGACCTTGCCCTTGTAAATACCCAAATTGACATCATTACCCTTGGCATCCTGCAAAACACAAAACAAAATTGATCAAGTAAGCTAGTTGAGTAAAAAGGATCATGTCAAATTTCGGTTTATTTGCATTCAGCCACCCTACTTTACTCTAATTGTTACAAAACTCCCCCGTATTGTTTTTATTAGCAAAAACACCCTACGTTTCAACTTATTCAGCCAAATTACCTAAAAATTTCACCATTAAGGGTTTGTATGCTGCATCTAATTTTTTGCTAATATTAGTAACATGGAGGGTTTTTTTAGCAAATTCGATATAACATAGGGATACCAAACGCAATAAAAATCTATAAAAATTGCAATAAAATGAAACAAAATCCATGGATCATGAACCAACACCTAATTTAAAAAAAATCAATTTTATTCAGCTAAATTTAAATAAACATAAAAGCTATCATTTCCAGAAATCGAGCAAAGAAGTTTCAGAAAAAAATAAAAATAAAAAAAATAAGTCAAATAACTAACAGAAAACAGTACCAAAGTAAGATATATCGAATCCATACTCCCAAAAAAATAAAGAAGAGTCAATAAACGAGCTATTCCGCCATTAAACAAGCAAAATTGCAGAGATGTGATTTATTATTAAAAAAAAAAAAAAAAAAAAAAAAAGGAAACCTTGACAGTGAAATCATGGATCGATTGAGGCTGGTTCGACTGGGTGGCCATCTTGTAATCTTCTGCTCTGAAACACAATACTTTTGTTATTGATCGATTGAGGAGAGAATTAAAAGGGGAGAAGGATTAGGCGGTGAAAATTGAAATGGATCGCTTTTGGGAGGATGGAATAGTATATATATAAAGTTTTTCAGCGTCAAAAAGAAAATATATTTTTTTTGTGTGTGAACAGAGAAATGAGAGATAAAGTCGCATTTTAGTGTGTTGTGAAAACGTGTGAACGTAAAAGTGTCCAAGTTTGTGGTTTGTGCGGCATGGAATCGCTTGCTTTTTTTTGCAAGCTTTTAGCTGTCAACTTATATATATCGATATATATATATATATATATATATATATTAAAATATTAATGAATAAATCAATTTGGCTTTTATTTATGGGTGGAAGTCAAACCGGATCGAGTCGAAAAAAATATGTTTTCGGATTTTTCTTTCTTTAAAGAAAAAATAATCGGAAGTGAATCATACATTAATTATGTTGTAAATTGGCCTACTGTTTTGAATTGGTCGTCGTGGAATAATGTAGTGCATAAGAATGTAAATAGATGTGTGATGATGCTAATTACTTAGATCACCAGGGGTAGTGTAGAAAACGAACTGGGAGAGCAAAGCAGATCAATAGCTTGACAACTTGATGATCCTGAGGTACCTGCGAAATGAACACACGTGAACTACGCCGGGGGTTGATCCGGCGGAAACCCCTCCGACGCTCAAGTCAGACGTGCTGACCATAGAAATAGTTCAGAGAATACGTATTGTAGTATTGCTCAGTTAATAGGACGTACCTTAATAAAATGAGTAAAACCTCTATTTATATGTCGTTTATTGAGTTGAGTTTGCTTTGTTGGGCCCAAGCCTTACTTGAAGGTGTTTGGGCCTCGGTGATATTAGTCTTCGATATTGAGCTCGTAGCCCAGTAGGTAAAGAAATTGTAGGCCCATTGGGTTGGCCCAATTAGACATATCAATGTGTATGTTTGCAGCTTAGTGGATGATTATTTAATTTCGTCTTACGGTTAGCAAATATCTGGTGTAGCAATTGAACTTACGGAGATAGAGATTGAGCAATACTTTTTAATTAATAAAATAAATATAGTTCTAGAAATATAAAATAGTAAAACATAAACAAACACACTTTGTATTTAAATTATTACACCACAAGATAATAAGGCAAATAATAATAATAACATTGAATTACCAAAAAAAAAAAAAAAAACAATTACAACCATTCAACACACGAAAATCATGTCCTCAAAAAAAAAAAAATATTTTAAAATAATTAATTAACCAATATCACAACATGCTATCTGTCCTGGCTGGAAGCCGCCGGAAAAAGTTCACCGGCACCGACGGCAGGCGGTACCGAAACCTAGGGTGCCTCATCGCATACACCCCCGCCAGAGCAGCGATCACCTGGAACGGCGTCACGTACAGCACCACCGCCGCCACAAGACAGAAAGTGACGAAAATGGCCGTCGCCCGCGGGTCCCGCCAGCTCAGCAGCGAGTGGACCCTCTCCCCCTGCGTCGCCACGTCACCCACCACCGTCTGTATCCTCCCCGCCACGCTCCTCAGCCTGTCGTACCTCATTCTAACCAAATCGGGATTCCGGCTCGTCGGAAACGTGTCGAACTCCTCGTCCAGCTCGTCGGGGTGCACCGCCTCCGCCTGAGAAATCTTCGTATTCATATGCGGCGGATACCTAGGCCGGAATCGAAAATTCCAAACTCCGATCAAGAACATGTACAAAAACACCGTCGGCAAAATCAACTCCGGGAAAGAAACGAGCATGAGGTACAGCAGATGCACAAGCACCGTCGTGATAGGGTTCCGCCAGGTACAGATATCACCGATCCATTTTCCGGCGGAGAATATTCCGGCGAAGACTGACATCATGCGGAAGAAGTTCGCCTTGCTCCTACGCATGCTCCACAAGTGCGAGTCGACATCCGACATGTACTCGACGACCTCCTTTCTCAACGGGGGCTCGGATCTCCCTAACCGTGTAGCGACTATGTTGACCGCCTGATGACGGAGCATGTCCAGCTGGACGACCGTGAATGGCCGAACATAGTGCATCTTCGGCAATAACGGCCTCGAGTACGTATAAAGCATGTTCGCGAACGAGGTGCAAGAAAATCGCAACGCCAAATGCAATTCACCCATTTTCTTCACACCCGTCGGATGAAGAACGAGCAATGGGTACGAATGCGTGTAGATCCGACCCGTCTGGAGCGTCGAAATCCGGATCCGGACTTTCCCGATTTTTACGTCTTTGCCCTTCTCGCCGCTCAGCTGGCTGTTGTCGAAGATTCCGACAGTCAACACAGTGGCGGGATCGAAAACCTCCCAAGTGTACTGCTCGTTGTACTTTGGGAAAAGATTGTCTACGATCGTACGCGTACGTATCCATTTGTGACCATATTTCGCCACGCAATACGTATCCGACGTACCCTTTCCGTCACGTGTTTTCATCGGATGAAGCCCAACGGCATTCAAAATCCCAAGCTCCAAAACTCCGATCGGAGGCTTCCAAAGCTGCTTCGCCGTAGGGCGAAGATCACTACTGTAGTGAGTCGACTCGTCAAGAACGTGATAACCCCCGTCCAAGCAAACCCGTAAGTGAAGCTTGCTCGAGAACTTCTCCTTCTTCAACTGATCCACATCCACCAAAACGGGCTTCTCTAAATTAAACCAACGAGAGTGAATCACACGATCGTCGGCCCGTTTTTCAACCATATTCAACGGTATGATAACCCGCCCGATTACCTCGTCTTTACCCGGAGCGACCCGGTCCTCCACTGTGAGTACAAGATGGTCCTCGAACGGCTCGGCTGCAACGAAGAACAAATCCTCGTTCCACAAAGGGTTGAAATTACGTGACTGAACGGGTTTCGTTCGCATCACTTGGTTTCCTATTTGGGCCTTTACGTAAGCGTCCGGAAAACGAGTCTTCTCCAATGGGATTAAATCCTGCGCTTCGACCACGTTCACACGCACGTACCACAAGCGCGGGGCCTGGTAGACTTTCGAACGGATAAGAGCCGAAGCGGCAGATGAGCTGTCGAGCGGCGAAGCTGCGTCGGAGTGCCACGCGTCGGGAAACGCCTCGTCAGCTTGTGTCCCGATCCAAACCGCCAGCATAAGCTCTCCTCTTATCTTCTCCCCTTTTTTATCTTCGAGGCGGTACCATTCAGGGGCCAAGGGGCTATCGGGTGGGACCCGCATGGGAACCTCATTGAGATCGAATCTCACAAACCCCACAAAATCGTCTTTTAAAATATCTTTATCCTTAACAACCACTTCCAAAACGGACGCTTGCATTCTCTCTCTAGAGAAGGCGAAAACTACATTCCACATTGGATTTTGTTGCTTCTCGATGTGCTTCGTAATTCCTTTGTAGTTTCCGATTTTGACCTCCACGTAAGGGTCAAGACTCCCCGTTACGTCCATGGCCGGTAGCTCACGAGCCTTGACGACTCTGACGAAGAGGAAATGCATTTTCTCAACGAGGTCGTACGTCCCTCCAGCTGTCGTCCTGTCGGTTTTGACAACTTTGCCCCCGACTATGCGGCCTCCGCCGAGGAACGGGCTTGTTTCCTTGAGGGCGAAATCGACCGGTTGAGAAGACGAGGCCGAGTGCATGTGCACGAGCTTCGGAGGCGGCATAGGTTCCGGAACCTTCATCTCGTTGGCCGTGTATTTAGTACTGTTGTAATGAGGTGGCGCTTCGACTGCTTGGTGATTGTTTTGTTGTTGCTGTTGTTGTTCCTCCTCGTTGCTATTTCGTTTAGGTAGGGTGTGGAACGTGTGCCGATTCTCCGACGGATTTTCGTCGGTGATTGAAATAGGGGTGGACGATTTTAGGGACGGATTGTCGGTGATGTAGACTTTGAGGCCGATTTCTCCACGAACATGCGAAAAGATTCCCCGTTTTTCTAACGGGTAGTGGAGGGTGACGGAATCGGAGTAGGGTACAAAGGAGTTGCCGTTGATTGTGACTTTTCCGAGGAAGGATTTGGATTGGGTGGCTTTGATGTTGCTGTAGATGTGAGCGTCGAGAGTGAGGGTGTGGAGGTTTGTGGGGTCCGTTATGTTGAAGTAGAAGCTCTCGTGCCACACGGGATTGAGATCTTTTTCTTTGATGGTTGACCGGTATCTTTGACCGTCGAAGTGGAGTTCAACGAATGGGTTTGACGAGCCTTGACCGTCTTTCGGCAAGAGGTTGTGCGCGCTTATGATGTCCACTCCGAGCTTCAGGTTTCCGACAGTCATTGCACTGTTTGTTTTTTTAACTGCTGATTCAGAAAATATAAAAAAAAAAGACGGAAAATTAATTTAAAAACAAGCGCGAAATGCGAAATGCAAGAAAAAACGAGACATGGTCGGATACATTCGAAAAATTAATAAAAAACGAACATTTTGGAAATAGTGCACACCGACAATTCAACACTCGAATTCGGATGGATTGGACTAAAAGAGCTGATCTCACAATAGGGCTTATAAGCAGAGAAAAAATCGCAAATTTACATCGACGATTCGAAAAAAGCAAAGACCAATTAAAAATTATAAACCGAAACGACAGATCATCGTTTCGGCCTTTCGGGTGTTCAAGCAATCAAGCTAGCTAGTTCTTTTTTTCATGAACGATCCAAATTAAAAGAAGGTTCCTAGACGTTAGACGTTTCTTGATTGCAGTACGCACAAGTGGCGAAAAACAATAGTTTAGGAGCAGATAAACAGATCTACATAATAAAAAACGATTTTCGAATAATCTTCATCAGAAATCATTCCATTAGGCCCACAAGATAATTAAAAAAACACAAACTTTAGCATAGAATAGAGACAAGAAATAAGATCACCATCACCTAAAAGCTCGTAAAAGATCGAAAAAAAATATTAAATTTTTTTTTCCTCCGTTTCAAATATGAATAGAACTAATTAACTGCAAATTGCTTACACTTAACAAATACATGTAAGTGAAGATCAAAAGAAAATGTAAAGGTGACACCTTTAAGATAAGTAGTGTACATGTAAGAAATAAAGTGGAAAGAAGAGCTGAAAAATAGGGTCAATACATTTGCATGTGCTGATGTACCTCGTGAGAGAGATCTATCAACATAAATAAAGAATTCTTGGAACTGAAAAATAATAATTAATAAATAAATAAATAAATAAAAAATAGAAAATCTCGTACTTAATTGACAGTGCACTTAAGCCATGATCTTCCTTAAGTAACGCTAACTACACATGAACTTTAGTCAAATGATGTGTGAAAAGGGCCAGCCATTTTTTTTGTGCATCTTTTCTCAAAAACAAAAAGAAAATAAATGATTGCGTAAATTACGGTCACACCCCTATGAGATTATGTCAAATTACGAAAAAACCCCTCATGCTTTGGTAATTACAATTCGTTCCCTTGAATCTTTTTACACGTCTACCCTTGCAGTGTCAAATTTAGTGGAACATTCTCCGGTTTGTATCAGAATCTGCATTTTTGTACAAAACGAGTACAAACTAGAAAAAATTCCACCGAATCTAAAAAGATTCTGTTGAATTCGACACCACAATGTTGGACTTGCTGTAAGAAGATTCATAGTAGAGGGGTGGTTGTAATTATAAAAAAATGAAGGGTAATTTCGTAATTTGACGTTAATTCAGGGGATGACCGTAATTTACCCTAAACAACACTTTAATCTGAGGGAGAGAAAAGAGAAAAAGACACCAGCTTTGGAATGATTATAATCTGACAGACACAAACAAATAATCACTTAAACATATAATCAAAGAGAATGATATATAGATAAAAGCATTAGCCAAACGTGACAAATTATATATACATATATATATATATATAAATTCAGATCTTGTGGTCCAGAATAATAATTACAACAAATGAAAAACCCATTATTATTTTTCTTGAATCTTGAAATAACCGGTGTTTCTTGAACAAAAATTGGCAAATGGGGTAAAATAGAACTATTAATTCATGTAATAAAGAACCCATGTAAGAAAACAAAGAGTAACAAGAAAAGGGCAGAAGAAAGAAGTACTTGTTTTTTTGTGTGTGAGCTGAAATCTTCAGAATTTCTCGACGGCCGCCATTGAAGAAAAGCTTGAAAGAAAGCAGATGAAAATAGAAAGAGAGGTATGTAGAACAATGTAGCTACAGTAAGTCACTAAGTTACTCTCACGCGAGTGTACAATGTGCGTTTGGGGGGCTTTTGATGAAGGGGGTGGGGGTGCGTGGGGGCGGGGGCAGGGGCGGGGGTGGGGGTGGAGGGGTTTATTACAGTGACATCGGTTTTGTAGGAGATATTGGGACAAAATCCTCTATATTTTGTTTCTTGGTCAAACGTTTTTCCACTTTTTATTTGTCCCTATTTGATGACAATATCTACAAAATTGAAAATCTAATATACATATTTAAATATATAAATATTTTGGTAAATTAAGCCACCTCGACTATAAATTTTTTTACACTTTTATCGTTAATCTTTTTGATTCGGTGAAATGTTCTCTAATTTGTAAATTAAAAAAAAAAAAAAAAAAAACTCTTATACTTGGGTAATTATAATTAGTTAATTACCCCTTAATTTTCTTACATTTCCACCATTATGGTGTAAAATTCAACATAATTTTCTAGATTTCGCGAATGTTCTCTTGTTTGTACTCATTTTGTGCAAAAATGTTTTTTTTCAGATGTACAACGGTATGATATTTACAAGTCAAAAGACACATTTTATGATCATCTTGTTTTAAAATGTGGAGTTCGAATAGGTAAAACATGTACAAATGGAGAAGATTCCACTAAATCTGACATTATAAGAGTGGACGTGTAATAAAATTCATAGTAGAGGGGTGGTTGTAATTACCCATACATACATTAGGAGATTTTTGTAATTTAACCTTACTTCTTGGGGTGGCCGTAATTTACTCTAAATATTTTCAACAAGTTCGATTACTCTAGTGTTATATTTCGTCGAAAATACTTAGGTGATGTTGGTTTCATTTTCATTCAATTTTTATTCTTTCTCGGAAATGAATTCGTGCTTATTTGACTTCTTAAAATTAATTTTCGCAACATTTAAAAAAAAAAATCTCTCCTTTATATATTATTTGACCAGATACAGTAAAAAATCTAACTGCAGTCTGCAATAGTAAAACTAGGGCTGTGCATAGATCGATTTTAACCACCAATCAACCCATTTTCGACTCATAATTTGTGACGGATAATCAACCATCAACCGACCCATTTAAGTTGGGTCGGTAATGTCAACCAACCCATGTATAGTTGGGTCGATAATGGGTTTTTAATATGCTAAAAAGTTGGTTAGTCGGGTAATATCGGCCAACCAACTTTATTTATTAATTTATTATTTATTAATTTTATTTAAAATATTTAATATTTTTAATTTCAAATTTCTATTTTATATTACATTTATTAAATTATCTAATATTGACCAAAATCCTAAAAGCAATAAATCTAGCCTAAAAATTTGGACGATTATTATTTGTTGGACTATTTATGTTTAATTGCAATACATATGGCCCGTAATGTTTTGAACTTTTTATTTGAATATTGCTGAAGTAGTCATATTTAATTTGTAAAAGAAATAGCATTGTAACAATTAATAAAATATTAAAAAAATTAAAAAATATTTAGATGGATGACACATCAACCAAACCATCAACCGATCAACTAATTTGGTTTTCAACCATCATCCAACCCATGCAAATTGGGTCGATAACGGTTTCCAATAGTTACCAAAATTGGTTGGATGGATTGGATTGGTTTTATGGCTGGTTTTTAACCAACCCAACCAACGCACAACCCTAAGTAAAAGATGTTTCCTAAAAAAAAAAAAACAAAAATCATTTTATTTTTCAACTTATTATTTTTAAATACCTTTCTCTAACGCATTTAAATATAATCTGACTCACATATTGTATTTTGTTTCCTCTTAAATTATAAATAATTACTTTAGTTCTTAATTTATTCTCTTACAATATATTTTCTCAAAATAAAATAAAAATAACTCCCAAAACGATTCCAAATTTAAAATTTGATTTTTTAAAAAAATGGCATTCTTTACAATTTCAATCAACAAATTTGAGAAGTAAAATTTATATTTATTTCGTTTCTTTACAACCATATGTAATATAATATGAATAAAATAATCAAAAAGAAAAATGTAATAATAATAGATAATAATGCCAGTACCCAATGCCTTTCATTGGAAAGCGGAAAATTCTTTAAGAAAATATTTTAATTTTCTTGATATTATTATTATTATTTATTATCTTGATATTCAAACCACTTTTGGATTGACAATGATAGACTAGGACCATCCAATCTTTATAACTTACCTTTTACTCATATTATTTTGTTTTTGAAGCATTATTAATTAATTACCTTGCTAATGTAGCAACTCATAAAGTAATTAAGATGAGCTATTTTAATTTTTTATTTAACTTTAATTTGTAATTGTTTTCTTACTTGAAACAAAGGTCATTAACAACTCTCAATCAAACTACACTTATAGGCTATAGGAATTAATTATTTTCTTATCCACAAATTTTATCACTTGAAATTAAAGTTAAGTTATATCCAACCAACAAAGTATATTTGGTTAAGAGTGACATTTCACATGCCAAAAAGAAATATAAAAAGAAAAAAAAAACCCAAATTCCATAAATATTTTTGGAAAAATACAAGTATTCATGCACATCTTCTGGTCCTAGGATTAAATTTTGGGGAAACCAAAAAAAAAAAAACAAAACAAAAAAAAAAACAATGACCATCTCTTTTTGGGTCAACATGCCCATAATTGAATGGACAAATATCGTCTATGTAATAAAAAATAAAAAGTGAAAATAAATAAATAATAGAGTAATATCTAGCTGTAATTTAGTTAGTGGGCTGTAAAATTAATAGCACAAAATGAATTGGTGGACTAGTGTGGAAGGCCGATACTTTAAAACTAGGGGTGGGAATTCGAATGCAATTTCTGCTTCCCGTCAATTTTGATCGGAAATTCCGACTTCCGATTTTTCGAAATTATTTAGATCGAAATAGAATATATACGAGATTCCGGTACCGAAAATAATTTAAATAATTCCAATTTTGTTTCCGAATATTCAATTAAAATACCAACATTATTTTGTATTTTATATTTAAGGTGGAAAAAAAATGAAAATTCCGTCCGCCGATTCTGATCCAAAATTTTCAGATTTTGGAACAAATTTTTCGTTTCAATTTCCCAAATTCCGATTTCGATATTTTTCGATTTTTTGGAACGGAATTGGAACTAGTTTTTCACTTTCGGAAAAAAAAATATTTTTTTTCCGAAGATGCTAACTTTATTGGAAATATTAATATTAAATGATACATTTCACAAACAACTTAAGCTTTTGGTTGATATGATCATTCAACATAGTATCAAAGTCAGACCAAATGAAAAGGTTCTGAGTTCCACTTGATGGGGCGGTGATGGTGATGGAGATACACGAAAAAAATATTAAAAGAAAAAAAAAGTTATTTTACAACATAAAATTGGGGTAAATTACAACCGCCCCTTGAAGTAAGGTCTATTTACAAAAAAAAAAAAAAAACTCTCACTTTCCAATAATTACATCCATCCCCTTGAAAGTTGTAGATGTCTTACGTCAACACCCTTTTGTAGGAGGGTGAATGTAAGAAATTTACAAAATTGCAGCGGGTTAGATGTAATTTCTCAAACAGATAGGGGTTTTGTGTAATTACCATTACCTAAGGGATGTGGTTGTAATTTACCAAAAAATTGGAGTTCATCATATAATATCCAGTGGGAGTGAAGAGGGATGGGGGGATGTTAATAAATGTGGACCTCATCTTGTGCAGATTCACAAGAGAGCCCTGCCACGTGGGCCCTACATGTGCATTGTCTCCCCTTTCGAGGCATTCCTTCTTTGTTCAATGCACTTTTGTTTTTATTTTACATTTTTCAAAAATTAATTAATCTGAAAAAAAAAGCAATAAATAAGTTTATCAAATAACTGGAATTTAAAAGGGATTTGCTTTTCGCGGTTGCAAAATTGTTATTTGCGGTTTATTATTAAAATATTCCATCTCTCTAGAAAAAGAAGCTTTTGAAGAGAATTTGCTTAAAAATCATTCTTGTTGGTGTGATATACGAACACAAATGAGTCATCGGATGAAGATCGTGATAGCGGATCTAACGAGGTAAAAATTCCGTCTTCTCGAGCGAAAAAACTCGAAAAATTGTCCAAGCGCCCAACTTGGGCGTGTACAGCTTATTTGGGCGCCCGAGTTGGGCGTCCGGTTCAAATGTATTTTTTTTTTTTTTTTTTTAAATAAATTTTTAATATTTTTTTCAGGACAATACGTCTAGAGTTGAAGTTGATCATACCGATTATTTTACAACAACTTAATTGTTTGACTCGGGGGACGAGTTAGTGGCTTGGGCTAGGTCCGTTGCAAGAGCTCTTTTCGTGAAATTAATTAAAAAAAGTGCCCCCAAAATAAAGAAAGTGTGTCTGACTTGTGACCTGTTCGGAGGGCCCCGGGAAAGTAACGTAGAGGCGGCCTCGAAAAGGTCTGGTAGCAAAAAAATAAAATGTGGTTTTCAAATTGTCGGAGAGCGGCGGTTGGACGATAGATGGGGGCTCAGAATAGTATATGGGAAGCATAATCATATTCCGATATACATGTCTGGGCATGGGCTTAGTGCATTGAATGAAGCGGAGTCGAAGATTATCAAGGATCTTTCACAAAGTCATGTGCCGCCCAAGAAGATTTTGGCTAACTTGAGACAAAATGGCTTGGGTCTCGATGCTTATTCGAAACAAATATACAATGAAAAGGCGAAATTGAGAAGATTAGCTAGGGGTGACCGTACAGTGATGCAACATTTGATTGGGTTGCTTGAGGAGCATAACTATTACAAGTGGTTCCGTACAGATGAAACGACACATGCAGTTATTGATTTGATGTGGGCTCACCCTCTATCTGTCGAATTGTTAAGTAAGTTCCGTACGTTATACTACTTGACAGTACTTACAAAACCAATCAGTACAAATTGCCTTTGTTGGAGATTGTTGGTGTTACTCCTGTCGGAATTTTTTTTACTGTTGGAGTGGTATTTATGCGCCATGAAAATGAAGACCATTATACATGGGTGTTGCAAATGTTGAAGAGACTTTCCCCCCCACATACTCTACCTAGTGCACTCGTGACTGATCGCGAGTTAGGGCTCTTAAAGGCGATAGAGAATGTATTTTCGACTGTGCCTCATCTATTATGTCTTTGGCACATTAACATGAATGTGGGGCGTCGTGCTTCAAAGTGTTTTGGCAATAGTAGGCGTCAAGGATTTGCTTTTGTACTCGGTCCGTGGCAAACTTTGGTAACATCAGTGTGTGAAGAAGATTTCGACCGGAATTACAGAGTTTTAGTGGACGATTACGCGAATCATCCACAGTTGATTGAGTACCTCCAAGACACTTGGCTGATATACAAAGAGAAATTTGTAAAAGCATGGACGGATCTAGTTTTTCATCTGGGCAATACATCGACAAGCAGGTATTTATTTATCAGTGGTTAAATACATATACTTAACTTACTGTCATGTTGTTTACTGAAACATAACCTACTTTAATCATATTTGGGTGGAGAGCAACCATAGAGCATTGAAGAGATGGTTGGATTCGTCCACATGTGGCTTTGACACATTTTGGGCACAGTATCACACACAGATTGCAGATCAACTTAACGAGATTCTGGCCGAATTTGCGAAGTCAAAGCGGATTCGGGCCCAGATGATTAATGTGCCCGTATTTAAAATATTGTCCAGTGGAATTGTAACACATTCTGCACTGAAGATGTTGGACGATGAGAAGGATGAAGATATAGACAGTTGCGTCTGTTACATGAGAAAATGTCTTGGCCTCTCATGCAAACATGAAATTGACGCAAAGGTGAATGCACGACGTGGTGTGTTTTATGCTGAGGATGTCCACATTTTTTGGAGGAGATGGGTTTCGGGATTCGGGTCTGGCCAAGAAGAAAGTATATCCTCGTCTTTAGGGATATAAATCTTAATTTATTTAAACTTGATACTTACATCTGACGCACGCATAGAATCAAGACGTCGACGATAATCAACAAGTATATCCTCGTCTTTAGGGATATGATGTATCACCTGCCACCTCTTACACCAGGGCTCTCCATTCACATGTGCGTTAACCATCGGAGGCCGGAAACACGGAAAATACTCATATATCCAACACTACAAAAATAATGATACGGCATATTAAACATAACATTTTCGTGATATTAATAAAAAAAAAAAATTGAGGGGTTACTACAAATAAAAAATTACCTCTAACAGTGTCAGACAACCACCCATCTGCGCCGCCTCAGCTCGCGTAGCCATGCCCAATTGTCGATACAAATAGGCCAATGTAGCCGAACCCCAGGAATAGTCAGAAATCATATCGATCTGCTCTAAAAGTGGGAAAAAATCTGCTTTCACCTTCGATTCACTCTTATCGACAAACAATAGCTTTCCAAGCAAGTACGCAATATATGCTCGTACCTGAAACTCGGAAGCAAATGAAGAATCGTCGCCATACATCCTATCCAAATCATCTAACCGGGATCCGCCGCCATACCACTTCTCCATATCTCGGGGCTCGACACCGAACGCTCTCGCACCTGCATAAATCGCATCTGCCTTATCTATCCAAACGTTAGGGCGTTTTCCACTAACTCGCAAATGCATGATATAGTGCACATCGTGGAGAGTAATTGTCATCTCTCCAAACGGCATATGAAAGCTGTTGGTGTCTGGCTGCCACCTCTCGATGAAAGCCTCTATCAATGGGTTATTGTGGTGAGGGAGCGAACAATAACGCAAGTGATACAACCCGGTACTCTCCAGTAGTGAAACACTATAATAGTCGTTGGGGCCCGGCCAAGTAGACTTCGCATGAGACCGCAACTTCAGCATATGTCGGCCCTGTTGAAGATATATTGATATTTAAGAATAGGAAAATCAACTATAAACATTTTAAACAAAATTTATTAAAATTAATAAGTATTACCTTTCCCTCCCAGATGTCGTAGGCAACATGGGCTCCAAAACTCGGAATCAAATGAGGGTATTTTGGTCCACCGGGTGTCTCACCAATTAACTTCCACGGTCGAATATGAAGAGTTTTTTTGGGACCGGGCCGGGACCTCGGGTTTGGGGCAGGAGTAGAACCACCGGAAGTACCAGCCATTGTATAAGCCGGAGTCAAACCGTCCTCGTCATCATCATCGGATGGCAAATCAGGCACCGGGAACTGATACTTCTGCTGAAAACGTAGTCCTGGATTGTACTCGTCCTCGTGGGGATCCATATATGTATCCATCTCCTGCTCGGGCTCTGCCTCTGTCTCCTCCTCCTCCTTAATTGTCATACGTGGTTGTACAAAAGCACCAGTCCGTTCCTCACGACGTTTAGAACTGGTAACATTACGGTTGTGCGTTCTGCCCTCCCGTTCCGCAGTACTCTCCTCCACCGGATTTGCAGGAGGACGAATCAGGGGACCCTTTCCTTTTCCCATTCCCAATTTTTTCATCTAGTTAGAAATCCTACAAACATAAAACATATTTTAAATTAATTAAATTAATATAATTGAAAAAAAAAAAAAAAAAAATCGAACGCCCGGTTCAAACGCCCGATTCGGGCGTTTTAACACCCCTTGGCCGCCCAACTTGGGCGTGCAGCCTGTAATTACCGAAAAAAAAAAAGCCCCTACAATTCGATTTGTAGGGGCTTTAAACATGAAATTGGTTGCGTAAACGACATGTGCAATGCATATTTTACGGAAATTAGTCGAAATTACCTCAAAATATCGAAGCCCAATGGTTCTTCGAGCTTGAATTCGAGATTTCGAATTTTTTTTTTTTTTTTTGCTATTTGCGGTTTTTTGGTTTTTGTAGGTTTAGAGAGAGAGAGTTTTTTTTATGAACCGCGAATAGCAAAAACGTAACCGCGAATAGCATTTCCGATTTAAAATAATAATTTTTTTTAAAATGTAGTTTTTGGGCTTCTTTTATGGTTGCGTGTGACCTAAATATTGTAACACATGGGCTCTAGCTGATTTATATGGTTTAGCCCATTAATAGTTTTAAGTGGGCTGTATATATGTTCTTAATTTTGAATAGATATGTCAAATTTATTTGTAAAATAGTTTTAGTAAACATAAAATATTATTTAATGAGTGTAAATTCTTTTTGAAATTTTATTTTTACCATTGATCAAATATTTAGTAATTACATTGACCTCCTCTAAGGTTAGGTACTTAACATTTAATTTTGGGCCGGATTGGATTTGTGAAATCTAGCAGATTAAACCCATTCTCTTCTGAGGCGCCTCGACATTCAAAGCTTAGTAGCACAAAAGTCGAAGTGAGGTCAAGACTAAGAATTCTATGCTTTGATCATCACCACCTATTCGAGGTATTTAGACTCCCCGTGTGACGTGTCACTCTTCCAAACGCTACTTTATGATCTTTTACTTCTCTCTTTCTTCTGGTCGTACCACCTCCTTAAATGTGTCTTGGCATTTCCCGACGACGTGCCCGTTTGATTATGACGACTCCTTTTTCATTTGCATATATAATAAATCATTATATAAGGAGATGAGGCATAACAAACAATCCCTCGTACTTTCAATTTTTTTTTTTAATTTCCCATCTTTCATAAAATAAGAATTAAAAACTAGGGTAAATTCCACTTTCCCTCTCATACTTTGGCTTGGTATTACTTTACACCGTTTTACTTTTGATTGCATTAATTTGCCCCTGCACTTGAAATATTGTTTCAATGTGGCCCTCGCTGTTAGTTGTTAGACATTTGACCTTAACACAGTTTAGTCTAACCTCTGAAATAATAAAAGCGCCACCCCTCCTAGTTTAAATAATTATTTAAAAAACAAAAAATAAAATAAAATAAAATAAAAAAATTGAAGACATCGAGAAAACATAGTCCATGACGGCAACCACAATTTATTTTTTTAATTTCTTTTAATAATTATTTAAACTGGGAGGGGTGGTTTTTTTGTAATTTTCAGACTTAGATCAAACGGTGTTAAGATCAAAGATCCGAAAACTAACGGCGATGACCATATATAGACAATTTCTCAAGTACAGGTGGACAAATCGATGCAATCAATAGTAGAAGGGTGTAAAGTGATATCTAGCCAAAGTACAATGGAGAAAGTGAAATTTAATGTAAAAACTATCCAAGAATTGCACATTAATCTACCTGTTTTATCCCATTCGAGCTCCACATTTCGAAACAAGATGATCATAAGCAGTGTCTCTTGACTTGCAAATATCAGACTGTGGTGGATCAGAAACAACATTTTTACACAAAACAAGTACATACCAGAATCCACATAATTTAGAAGATTCTATCGAATTCAACGCCATAAGAATAAACATGTAAGAATATTCAAAGCTAACTTATAATTATAATTATCTAAACATATAATTTTTTTTTAATAATTTAATCTTATAGTTGTGGATGACCCTAATTTACCTTATATAGGAAGAATTTGAATGAAATAAGTCAATAAGATATGATGCAAGATTGGAAGTACCGTCCTTTGATTGTAGTAAAGACTAAAGAATAATATAATATCAAGAAACCCCCATTTCTTCTCCATATATTAATGTCTGAATGATACCGACACTGTAAGAAAAAGTCAACATCTACAACGCTATATAACACACACACACACACACACACACACACACAGTAACACACTGCGATTGTGAGAGAGAGAGAGAGAAGAAGAAGAAATTAAGATGGAGCTGAAAGTGTACGCCGATCGGATGTCCCAACCTTCCCGTGCAATTCTTATTTTCTGCAAGTAAATTTTTTTTCTTGATTGAATAATCAATTTCTGAAATTATTTGTGATGTTTATTTCTCTTGTCTGAATCTTTTTTTATTTATCTGTTTAAAAGGGCAAATGGGTTAGAATTTGAGGAGGTGCCGATTCAGCTTGCTAAGAAGCAGCACCATTCCCCTGAATTTGCAGGTCTCAATCTTTAGAGAGAGAAACAAAAAAAAAACAAAAAAACAAAAAAAACCTTTTTTTTTTTTTTTTTTTTTTTTTTTTTTTTTTTAATTTGTTTGTTTTTTATTTAATTATTTTAGAAATAAACCCCATGAAGCAAGTTCCAGCAATTGTCCATGGAGATTTCAAGCTTTTCGAGAGGTAAATTGTTTGGATCTGCAAGTGGGCATTTTATATAATTATTAATTTCTTGATTAATTAATTAATTAATTTTCTTGAATTTAAATTATGATCTGCATTTCTTTAACCTGGTTCCATTAATTAAATTAAATTGAATATAATCTTATAGATTTTGTTCAATATTTCGATTGATCTCAAGTAAATCGTCGATTAGATGTTGTCTCGACTCTCGACAACATTCTCGTATCATAGTTTATGAACCGAGTCGACTAGGCAGGGCCGAGTGACTATTTAGTTACACTTCGGTCGAAATCCGCGCGCATATACCGAATAGTATAGACTAACTTCATTGATTTAGAAAAATGAAATCGATAATCTTTTCTAATTATCTCCGAGTTCTGTTCACGAATTTGTTGTGTAATGCAGTCATGCGATACTTATTTATTTGGCTTCTGCGTTTCCCGGAGTTGCTGATCACTGGTATGTTTAATTTTATTTATTTTTTAATTTTTGTTTTAAATTTTACATAATTCTTCCTAATAATTTATTGCACAATCGTAATCCAATATATCCGTACTCGTACAATGCAACTCCTTATTATTGTGAAGGTATCCAGCCGATGCTCGCAAAAGAGCGAAAATCCACTCGGTGCTCGATTGGCACCACTCAAATTTGCGCCGTGGTTCAGGTGATTTTTTTTGTGTATATATATAGATTTTTTTTTTCTGGAATTTATCGATGATTTGTAAAGCTTCAGGATTTTGCACATCCGTAGATAATTACGTTGAATTGAGCAAAACGGGAGCTCATATTATATGAAGCTCGTAATATTGCTTTGGTTGTACACTTTGATTTAATTAGGGCTACTTTTCTGTTTTTCTTTTTTTTTTTCAGTCGGATACATTTTCAACAACACTATAGCACTAGCATTTGGTCTGCCGTTGAATCCAAAAGCAGAAGCCGAGGGTGAAAAGCTTCTTTTAGCTTCTCTTTCGACTATCGAATCTCTTTGGCTTGAAGATGGCCCGTTTTTGCTCGGAAACTCTAAACCTTCCATCGCCGATCTTTCTTTGGTTTGCGAAATCACGCAACTTGAGGTAATATTAAAAAAAAAAAAAATTTTTTTTTTTTTTTAATTTATATATATATGCTATATAATGTTTTCAGAGTCTTCTGGATTAAAGAAAATGTCGAAATATAGTTCCACCGTCTTGTTTTTTCTCGTATGAAATATAAATGCAAAATGAAATTTATTACCAATTATTTATTTATTAATTTTTTTTTTTTTTTGTAAGTTTGCGGATGAGAAAGATCGCGAGCGTATTTTGAGTCCCCACAAAAAAGTTCTGAAGTGGATGGAAGACACAAAGAAAGCAAGTGCTCCTTATTTCGAGGAAATTCACTCGTCGATGCCACCTGGCATAGCGCAGCTAAAGGCATTGAAGGCGCAAGTAATTAGCCAACTATCAGCTTCAAAACACTAAGATGCAATTAGCTAGAAAATTTCGAAGCATGCATATTTTGTGATGCATGTTCGATTTTCTCGAGCTCGTATAATTGCATGAATTTCTATGTTAGCGTGCTGCGTGTTATTTATTATACAATGTTGTTTATCGGTTTCATCGTACTATGCAATAAAAATATATATATTTTCTGCAAATTTGCTTTGCAAGAACGTTATATTTCACATGTGTTCATGCAAGAACAGTTATTTTCCGGTTGTCGTGAATGCAGGCGACAATTTGCTGTTATTATTATTATTATTCTGTACATTAATTCGAATTTTCATAGGATCCGAATTACCCGATAATTTTACCTCGTACTTGTAGAGAATCTAGGACCTTGGGTCTCTTGTAATTCTTGAGCAAAAGAGAGCTGCACACCACGCTTACCGAAGATGCCGCCATTGCTCCGCCGGCAACCCACGGCGGCAGCCGGAATCTGGTTGCCGGAAAAATTGCTCCGGCGGCAAGTGGGATGCCGATGACGTTGTACCCTAATGCCCAAATATAGTTGAGTCGGATTCTGAAAAACGTTTTTCTTGATAGGTCTATTGCGGTTATTACGTCCTCCAAATTGCTTTTCATAAGAACTATGTCTGCCGCCTCGATTGCTATGTCTGTGCCTGCACCGATTGCTACGCCGATGTCTGCTGCCACGAGCGCCGGCGAGTCGTTGATCCCGTCCCCCACCATAGCCACGATGTTGCCGTTGGCCTTTTCGCCAAACAAGTTAAAAAATATATATGTAAATAAATAATAATGTTACAAGAAAAAGAATGATCAAATATTTCTGTTGTGAAATGGTAATTCATAATAAGTACCACCGATTTGTTCGATGCTACACCCGGTGTTTTTCACCGGGTGTAGCATCGAAGGAACCAAGTACCACCCTAGGGGTGGAATCGGAAATCATAATGGAATTTTCGAATTTCCCGATCCGAATATTTCCGATTTTTGGAAGTTCTGATTTCATTTTTTATGATTATACCTTTAGGAACGGAATTGTAATACATATTAGATTCCGATTTCCGATGCAAATTAATTTGCGATTTTTCTTTTTTAATTTTCCGAAAATTACACTTTATAACGAATATCAATATTATCGTGTACTTTATATCACCAAAATAATGGAAATTCCTAATTCCGTCGATTTTAATCCAAATGTTTTCAATTTTGGAATAAGTTTATTCCAATTTCCAAACCTCTGATTTCCGATTTTTTTTGGGACGGAATTGAAATTAATTTTTTTTTCTTGAAATTTTTCCATAAGACCAAATTATGTGGATTTATCCGATTTCCACCCCCAACCTATCCAGTAATTGCATATTAATCAATGATAATAAGATTTAAAAAAATAATAAATAAATAAATAACCTGTAATTCCTTCACTTTCTGTGCTTTATGCTCAGGTTTAGCTTCTGCCACAAAACTATCTATACCAACTTCCTTGGCAATTGCTTTCGCAGTTCCCTTATTATCCCCCGTCACTATTATACACTTAATCTTCATCGACCTCAAAATCGAAACCGCTTCGCGGGCCCCCGGCTTCAACGGGTCGGATACACCAAGAATTCCGTATATCTCCCTATCAATAGATACAAGAATCCCCGTTTGAGCCAACCCTTCGATTTCCGTCATTATTTCCTCGGCGCACGTCCGAATAACCACATTGTGATCCAACATTAAACTCTTGTTCCCCACAAGAACCTCTCTATTTCGAATAACCGCCTTCACACCGTGGCCCGTTATGGATTCGAAGTCACGGGCTTCGGGCCAAGTGGGGCCCGCTTCGTCGTCATTTTCCATGCACTTCTTAGCGTACTCAACGACCGCCTTGCCCAACGGATGCTCGCTGTTTACCTGATAAAAAAATTTATTGCATTTAATAACCATCTGTTATAGCTAATTGCTAAAAAGTCCTCTAGTTATTATTAATGATATTAGCAAAAAATCCTTATAATGCAATTTCTTTAGCAAATTAGCCCTAAAAACTCTTCATTTAGCGAAATGCATGCTAAAAAAATGAATTATACGAAGATTTTTGGTAATATTAAAACACGAGATCCTTTTCAGCAATTAGCTATAACACAGGGGTACTAAATGCAATAAACTCCATGCAAGAAGTTACTACCTCAGCAGCAGCAACCAAAGAAGTAAATTCTTGATGACTCATATTATCTTTCAAGAGCTTCGTTGTGACAACGACGGGCCTACCGATTGTGAGAGTTCCCGTTTTGTCGAAAACTATGCAATTCACCTGCGGGGCACGGCCAAAAAAAAGTTACCAAACATATCACAAAAATTGCTTAATTATTTAATTAATCATGACTAATCTGTCAACCAAACACGCGATACGACGAAGAAAAATAAAAAAACCCGAACCTTATGAGTGGTTTCCAAGGCGTGGCCGCCTTTAATGAGGACACCTTGAGAAGCACCGACGCCGGTGCTAACCATAACGGCCGTAGGAGTAGCTAAGCCGAGCGCGCATGGGCACGCTATCACCATTACGGAGATTCCGAATTGAAGTGCAAGCTCAAATCCATCCATTGGAGGAGGTATCCAAGATTTAGGGTACCCCTTCAATTTCCCGGCACAAAACCATGCAAACCATGTCGAAATCGAAAGAAATACAACCTGCAACAAAAAGACGAAAAACGAACAACGATCATCGAAAAAATATTTCAAGAAGTATAGAGACATATATGTAGAGCATTTTTTCTTAAATAACATACTAGAGGAACGAAGAACTTGGAAATACGATCGGCAAATTTCTGAACCGGAGCCTTCGCCATTTGCGCCGATTCAACCAAACGGACAATTTGTGACAAAGCGCTCTCCGATCCAACTCTCGTCGCCTTAACATGCAACACCCCGTTCGTATTCATGGTCCCACCAATTACCAAATCGCCCTTCCGTTTTCCCACCGGCCTAGATTCTCCCGTAACCATGCTCTCGTTCACATGGCTCTGGCCCCACACAAAAACCCCATCACACGACTTTCGTACCGGGGACAACTTTCACCGCATCGTTCTTCTGGATCAAACGGCTATCGATTTCTTCCTCGTTCGAAACATTCCCTTCCATATCTAGGGTTAGTAGCGTAGCTCTCTCGGGAGATAAGTCCATGAGCTTCTCTATAGCCTCGCACGTCTTACCTTTCGCCAAGACCTCCAAATACTTCCCCAATAGTATGAAGGAAACGAGCATCGCGCTCGTTTCGAAGAAATCGGTCGACTCGAATCTCGGAGAAAAAGCCGCCCTCAAAACCGAATAAACCGAGTAGAAATAGGCCGCATTTGTTCCGAGTGCTATCAAGACATCCATATTTGCCGAGCCTCGTCTCAATGCTTTGTGGGCCCCGGTGTAGAATCGTCGGCCGATGATGAATTGAACCGGGGTACATAATATCCACCTCAAAATCGCACCAACTGTGACCATGTTCACTACCTTAATCTCCATCCCGCGATTGATACTAGGAATGTACATAAACACCATAGACGACAAAAAAACCGGAATAGTGAAGACGAGACTCCATATAAAAGATCTGTAGTATTGTTTAATTTCGTCTTCTCTATGAGTTTCGCTCCCCCGTTTCTCGGAGAAGATCGCAGCCTTTAAACCATTAGATTCGATCGTTTTGATGAAATCTCGAGGCCCTTTTAAATCCGGCTCGTAAGTAACCGACATTTTTTTTCGGTCAGGTTCGAACTTTACTTCTCGGACACCTGGCAATGATCGGAGGGAATTTTCGATAATTTTCGTCGAATTCTCGTTTTCTAGTACTCCTTCAAGTTGGAGTTGTACGCTGCGGGTGGCTCCACCGTAGGTGATGAGTGTGCCCTCGAATCCGACGTCTCGTACGGCTTCCAAGATTTGATCGACGGTCGAGATTCTTGGATCGAAATGGACTTCGATTTTCTCGTTGGATAACGAGACTAGGGCTTTCGTTACACCGTGCACGGATGATAGATAGTACTCTAGAGTCATGGAGCAAGAAATGCACGATAGCCCTTGTATACGAATTCGGCATACTTGCGTGGATCGATCGTTTATTGTTTCTTCGGATATCAATCTTGCTTCGAATCCCGCGTCTTCGATTGTCTCGCGGATTGTTTCCTCCTACGTACATTTTTTTTAGAAATTATATTAATTAATTTACATAATTAGTAATAATTTAGAACCTGTCTTATTTTATTATCAATTGGATATAGGAATGAAATGTGATTAAGGAAAAAAAATAAAATCTGATTTGAATCTTTGACCTTAAATTATATATAAAAGCTTTGACATAATAAAAAGACCAAAACTTTATTAAAGTAGTACCATAAAGTGGTCTGAGGGAATCAACTAATCTTATTACTTAGTCTTATCTAATGTTGATTAGTGGGAATTAAGGAACAAATTAAATAATTAAGTACTATAAAGTGTAATTCTTCTAGTGTCCACTCTGCTTCCAATTATTTATGTGCTGCGTGTATAATACACTTGATTATTTCCACGTGATAGAATTTGAATTGTAGATTTGATTAAATAACTATCCATTAAATACATATACACATGTATGTAATTATGTGTAAACCAACGATTCAAATCCACGATTGTATCTTTATACATATAGTTTTATATGGCTTCTATTGCAAACATAAATTTCATTGAGACAAATTAAATTGCATATGTTTTCAATTTCTAGCACACATAAAATTAAGGATAAATTACGGCCGCTTTCTTGAAATAAGATTAAATTACGAAAAAAATTCTTACTGTTTGGGTAATTACAACCACTCCTCAACTATTATTACATTATGAAAGCCCCCCTCCTTCAACAGGTAAAATTAACATTGTAATTGTGTACGTGTAAGATAATACGTAGTTATTGGAGGGGATTGTAATTACCCAAACAAGAGGTAATTTTTCGTAATTTAATCTTATTTCAGGGACTGACCGTAATTTGCCCTAAAATTAAACCGCATAAACTTATGCAGATCAAATGCAACTCGAATTGATACCAACTAAAAAAAGCGAAACCAAAACACTGAAATTACAACTTTAATAAGAACAATACTTAGTTACACACACACACACACACACACACACACACACACACACACACACACACACACACACACACACACACACACACACACAACTTACGTTGACAAAAGCTGGACTGAAGACGAC